TTTCGTGGATAGCCAGTGTTGCAGGATCTTCCAGAAGGCCTCGCAGTTGACTGAGTGAAATGCTGTAGTCAAATTGAAGAATGCCAGAGACAGACATTGCTCCTGACATGTCTCTTGTATTAGGTAGAGAAAAGTTTCATCTTGGTTGTTTCTCGCCCTGGCTGGGAGTCATATCATGATTCTGGAAGGAATTCTTCAGCCAGTGGAAGGACACAGTTTAGAAGGACTTGGGTGAGAATTTTATCTCCAGTTGAAAGCAAGGAGATCCCTTGGTAGTTCGCGCAGTCTGTCCTGTCACCCTTCTTAAAGATGGTCACTATAATGGTGCCTCTGAGCTCGCTGGGTATGGATTCTTCTCTCCAGTTCATCAGAATGAGGGGGTACAGGCACAACAGCAGGGATGGACCTAACAGCATTGAACAACTCATGACTATTGCTGGGAGTCAGCATAGGCCTGTATTTCCTTTATTTTGTCTCTCCAACAGTTGTTTTTAAGGACTCTAATTCTGCCTTGTACTTTAGCCAGGGCAAGCTTATAATCATGTTTCTTTTGCGGAGATGAGAAGTTGCTATGCCAGGCTTTAAATGCTCTGTGTTTAATATCAGTTAGGTCCTGGATCTCCTTATTAGTATCAAACCAATTGTGGTTCCTTCACTTAGTGTAGTCAAGGGTTTCACCACATGTTTCCAGGACAGCAGTTTTCAGAAAGGACTGCCTGAAGACAGTCCTCTGCTGTATCTTGGATACATAACTTGTTGCTAAAGCTTTGCTGGAAGATAAGCTTCATCTCAGGGTCCTTTAAACCCTCTATGTTCATCTTTTTGCAGTGTTTTTTGGGGTGAAAACATGCCTTGGTGCTAGTTTGAGCAACATCATGGAACGTATTAGTCGGTGGTTGGTCCAGCAGTCAGCATCAATCATAGTATGAGTAATGCATGCATCAGCATGGAGCCGAAACTGGATGATGACAATCAACCAGGTGCCAGTGTCCTGATCGTGGGTGTCACCAGGAAGAGTTTAAATGATTCTTCTACCAGAACAGAGTGTTCGATGTATCAAGACCATGATCAGTACAGAGCATATAGTACAGCAGGTGACCATTGGGAGTTAATTTTTCCTACACCTTCCCACTCACTGACACCATTCCATAGGTGGTAGTCAGTACCTACTCTGGCATTCAAGTCCCCTAAAAGTACAAGCTTGTCCCCTCTAGGCACACCTTTAATAATGCTATCAAGGAGTGTATAGAAAAATTCCTTGGCATCTTCTTCAGCTAGTATGGTGGGAGTGTAAGCACTGATGACTGTTGCAAACTGGTTGTTAGCCAGCCTAAGACACAGCGTCATTAGATATTCGCTGACACCAGTAGGGTATTCTTTAAGGCTACACCTAAGGCTATTCTTAATAGGAAAGCTGACACTGTGCATGTGGTGCTCGTCTTCATGTTTACCTCTTCAAACAAAGGAATAGCCACCTCTGATTTCTTTAATCCAGCCCTCATCAGCTAGCTGGGTCTCACTCAAAGAGGTGGTGTCAATATTGGACCTCCTCAGTTCGTGGGCAATGAGAGCTATTCAGCACTCAGGTCGGTAAGGCTTGTCACTGTCCATCTGTGTCCTGACATTCCAGGTTCCAAATCTAAGTCCAAGTGTTTCTCTCTTCTTATTGTTGCCCTTGCGAATTGAAAGGTATTCCCCCCCGGCCATGGTTACCAGGCAGATTGGGTTGAGAGACTCTTTTTAAGGCACCTTTTCTTACCCCTTGGAGTAATCAGAGCAGATCCTAAATAGGACAGCTCAGTCACAGTTACAGCTGCTGGGCACACTTCTGTCTCTTCCAAGTGCATGACTATCATCTTGCAGCTTCACCTCCATACTAGGTTGCGACTAGAGGCTTCCAGCTGCACAAGCCTGCCCCCCATCATCACTTGCTGATCGCCGAAGGACTTGAGTTGTGAAAAGAGAAGAATGCAGAGGCAATTATCCAAGGAAGGGCCTGTGCATGACAGAGTTTTATGTGGAGATGCCGTTGCCCATCAGTGACTACACAATGCTTGACCAAGGCACTGCCTGGAACCAATGGCAAGGAGGTCCAAGACAACTGAGAGGCTGTCTCTCAAAGCACAGGTCCCAGCAACTTATCCATTTGAATCCATTGGTCGTCCAGGTTGTGGCCCATCAGCCATCATCACAAGAGATCTGCCGTAGGCCTCTGATACAAGGATGCGGAAGGACGTTCCCCTCACCATTCAAAGAACAACCCCAGGGCTGTTGCTACACTTGAAAGGTGAAAGCACTGCGGGGAGCACAGGGCCAGCAGGAAACTCAAGCAGACCCCTTGCTGGCCCCATGTTCCCCACAGCATTTCAGAGCGGCAGCAACAAATGGAGCCCAGTTCAGTGAGGGAGTCACTTTCCCAGACTGTTGGAGTGATGGAGGCAACACACTTAGCCCATCACAGAATGAGAGTCTCACAAACCCAGCAGTTTCAAGTCAATTTAAATTCTCTGGATCAAGCATCTAGGGAGGTTTACACTTCTCCTGAAGAATATTTATCTTGTTCCAAGAAACTATTAGAAAGCACAACTTTGGAGAACTAGGATTAGAGGACAAACCTGTGGGCATAGCAAATCAGACAGGATTTATGATTCTCACCTTCGGGCACTATAACAATTAAGGCCTGCAGACATTTCTATAAAATTAAATACTGAACAAGTAGTAAGAGGAGGACAATCTTACTGTCCTCCAATTGGCCACTATTGGCAGACAGGATACTGGGCTGAATGGACCATTGGTCTGATCCAGTATGGCCATTTTTATGTCCTCTGTCATTCTATTGATCTGATTTCTTCTTGCTGGACTGCCTAACTGCACTTCACACCCCCAGAGAGCTTATTCCTTCTGAAATACAGTAATCGGAAGGGCCTCTTGACAGGAAGCACCTGTAAGATCAGACCTCTATCTGAACTAGAAGTGTACTGTCCTTTCCAAATTGTAAGCGAAGCAGAAAGCTTATCAGTTCTGTCGAGCTTTGATATCCAAGCCCTTTTGAATGCTCAAAAATATTACATTAGCTGTGCTTTGGGGATCTTAAAACTATATAAGGAGGGAAGGACCATTCAGATGTTCCTTCATCTTTTTGTGGCACCCAGCATGGAATTACGTTTAAGAACCAGTTCAAGAGGAGAACACGTCCAACTGATTTGGGATTTTTAAATACATAAAAACCATTTCAGTAATCTCTAAAATTAGAATTACAGGTTGAACCTCCCCGGTCCAGCATCCTAGGAACCTGACTAGTCCCAGATAAGGGATTTTGCCATACCAGGGGAGGTAATTTCTGGCCCCCCTGCCACTGGCCATGCCAGTCCTGGCCCAGCCATCGGCCTCTGGGCTGCTTCCCCAGCACCACTGGGCTGTACACAGGGATCTTGGCCACTGCCAGCCCTCAGGGCTCCTCACTGCCAGCCCTCCAACATGTTGCTGGATCAGAGAGTCCCGGTTTAGAGAGCTGTAACCTTGTATTTTCCTCCTCTGAGTCACAGAGTTGAATATTACTGATTTAATTTTTAATTTTCAACTACAAGCACTAGAATTATGTAAGTTTTATATACAAATTTACACAAATATATGTCACTATACTTGCCGAACAAAGTTTTTCATCTAGTAGAACATTCAATTTCCAAAGCTATATGTCTATCCAGTTTAAGTACAAGAATTGCAGGCGTTAAAGAACTGCACCTATTTAGAAAAGAAAAATCTCTCTGAAATAAGAGACAGAACTTGAGTTCCCACCCCATGCTGAAACTGCAGCTCACATCCCCATTCACTGACCAAAGTTCCTTTAAAACACAAGACTCACAATCACAGGCATAAACTGGTGCATTAAGGCGTTTATATACAGCAGTGGTCACCAACCAGTAGATTGGGATCTACTGGTCGATCTTGGAGCCTTTGACAGGTGATTCTAACTGGTTTGGCCAGGAATCTATCAAGTGCCGGCACTTTGGCTGCCCCTCTCAGCTCTACCGTGCTGCTCCTGCCCTCTGCCTTGGAGCTGCCCCCTGCCTGCACCTGTGGGAGCCTCCTGCTTGCTCTACAGGGCATGGAAAGAAGAGAAAGGGGGGTATTGATCTCAGGGTGCCCCTCCCTACACCCTGTACCCCATCTCCACAGAGCAGAGGGGAGCAGGGATAGAGGGAGTTTGCTGGCTGCTTTTGGGAGTGGTGCAGGGCTAGAACAGAGATGAGCCTGCCTTAGCCCCCTGCACCACCACTCAGAAGCCACCTGTGGTAAGTGGTGCCTAGATGGAGCCTACATTCCGAACCCCAGTCCCAGTCTGGAACCCCTCCAGGATCTACCCTAAACCATTGCCCCCAGCCTGATAAAAGTGAGTGAGGATGGGGGAGGGAGGATGGAGTAAGCAGGGGTGGGGCCTCGGAGGAGGGGCAGGAAGGAGGCGGGGTAAGGGTATTTGGGTTTGAGGTAAATCCTGGATTGCACTTAAATTCAAAAAGTGATGTCATGTTTAAAAAGGTTGGAGACCCCTGATGAACAGTGAAACCTTTGTTATCTGGCACTCTGTAAACTGGCATTGCCCCCAGCCACAATACTGTCACATCTTCAGGCGCACATGCTTGGTTTGGTTTATCATGATTGGCTTAACAATTTTTTTATTTAAGTAGTACTGATCATCTTTAACTCAAAATAGAAACGTGAGACCAGCTGCCTCAGACTACAAAACTACCAAAATTAAAAACATGAGCTTTTCTATTATTGTCCATTGGTTTTTCCAAGGTTGGTGGGACACTCAGATAACCGTAATTTTTAAATATCCGGAACGACGCCCTAATTCCTGAGCATGCCGGATAACACAGGTTTTACTGGCAGAGAACAGTCAGCACTTCCTGTAATGTAATCATCACCAACAATGTACTGAATCCGTGGTTTAGGAGGGCTTCTCATAATATGCACAAGAATCCTGAAAACCAATAGCTCACCTTTAGACTGGTGTTGGAGCGTGGCTGGCTCAGCTCATGGAATTTCCAGTGATCTGACCCCGGTGTTTCTCCAGCTTCTTTCCGAGTCTCAGGTGTAAGCAGTGCATCTCCTGGAGGTAAGGGGAAGATGCCCAGTGATATAGGACGCTCTTTTCTGTTTGAAAAACAAACCAAATTTAATGAGTTTCAATTTCACCCATTCATTGCCTATGCTATATCTGCTTTTGAATATAGCAGAATTTAGATTCAGGATCCTAATGTGTATACCATTAAAAACAGATGCAAGTGTACACAGTTTGCATTATTTTATTTAGTAAAATCTGAGATTCTGCTTATGTATTTCAAAAGCTTGAGAACTATAGGCTGAGTTAAAGGTTCCTGATTTAAACAATTTTGTGCAACACGTATGCTGGACATCGCATAACCATTCCAAGTGGAGAACATTAAACTTTTAAATACGAAAATCACTGGACCATGAACATCAGAATCAATGTTTTAAAAGCAAGTCTATTTTTCTTTAATTCATATGTAGTACTAGCTATCTAATTGCATTCAGAAGCTACTTTTGAAAATGCATTTCTCATTTGCTCAACTGTCATAAAGCACCACAACTTCTATTGAATCCAAACAAATCTTTTCAACTTCCCCTCCACTTCAAGCAACAATGCCTTACTCTGAAGCCTATCTATAAGTTTAAAAAAAGCATTTCACATTAGATGTACAATCTGTACTTGTACAAGACTGCAGTTTGTACTTTGCTTAGCTGTATGTTTGGAGGTGAACAGAAAGAATCTGAGGTTTTAAAAATTAAGGGACTATTTTTGGAGTGGACTAAATTTAAGCCTACAGCTTAATTAGTATGAGAGAAAACAAAACCTCTTTCCCAGTTAAACACTCAGATCCTATGACAAGATCACTGAGGAGTTTTCAGTCTTGTTGTGCGTAGGCCAAAGCTGGGCAATAACTTTTGATGAGGGAGACAACTCCAAGTTTTTGGAAAGTAATCGAGGTCCACACTTTTCGATGGAAAGGGGACAGGCTCTGGGACAGACTGAGTGCAGAAGGGAGCTTAAGGTAGGGGGCCAGGGTGCATGAGAGAGCGTGGGGTCTGAGAGGGAGTTTGGGTGAAAGAGTAGGCTGGGATCTGGGGGAGGGCTTGGAGGCAGGGCATGGGAGGGGGCATGGGTGTAGAAAAGGATTCTGGCCTGGGGGAGAGGTGTAATAGGAAGTGCAGAGTCTGGGAGAGAGTTTTTGGGGGTGACCTGAGGCAGGGAGTTGGGGGGAGGGAGGATGTGAGGGGAGCCAATGAGAGCTGAGAGATTTTGCAGAGGGGTGGGGCCAACATACTAATGCCTTCCCTTTCCCCCTGGCGCCTGATGCAGAGAGCCATAGGGAGCAGCCAGCTGCTTAAAAGTGGTGTGAGCCGCCCTGTGCCAAGGGTTCTGGCAGGGCAGCCCGTGAGTCAGATCCAGTGACTTGGTGGGCTGGATCTGATCCATTGGCTGCATCTTGCCTGCTCATGTTTAAACAATTACAGTTTTGTTTGTTTATAAATAAAATAAATAAATAGCAGAAAGTCTAAATTGATATTTTAATTTAGACACCCTTTTTAGTACCTAGATAGATACAGGTAACAGAAATAAGAGTTTTTATTTTTAAGTCAGCAGTACCAATACTATACAGGGCACTGAAAAAGTTGGTAGCAGAAATGTCTGTCAGGGATGCTGGGTCAAGTTCATGGAAAGCTTTAAAATCCACATATTACCATAGCTGCCTACTCTATATTCAGCAGATAAACTATAGAAAACAATCAAAAGTAATCCCAATAAATCAGAAAATTCCACAGACCGGAATAAAGTGGGTTCTAGTTCTCCCAAGACCACTGGGTTATTTTGATAATGGTCTCTTAAAGCATTTTGAAGTGGTGGCACCTCTGTAAGAGAACACAGCCCTGAAAACTAAAATAATCTCTTCTGAAAAGTGAACGAAAGCAAAAGATGCCATCCTCCTCTCCATGGAGAAGACATTTTGGAGAACCTTCCCAAAATCCCAGGTACTGCATCCAGTGGTGTGATCACAATAAATTAAAACAGATTACACTTGGAGAGAGAACAAAATGTTGTTTAGAAAGCCATTTGTGGAATGCTGTGGCCAACGCTGTAAAAGAATCAGAGGGGTAACTTTCTTCAGATAAGTTAAGCAAAATGTTTGCTTGGACAAAACAGCAAGATTCAGGAAAAAAAAATATGTGCAGTGAAGCACCACTGCCAGAATTAAAGCTTTGGTTGAAGCTAGGAGATAAGTTTATCAAAGGTAAAATGTAGAAAAAGTGCACTACACCAAAAAATTGAGCTTTGCAATACAAAGCAGATAGAAAATGCAATCCACAAGTTAGTGGGCACCTCCCAATTAGAAAACAGGATAACAATTTTCACAATGACGACGGAGATTCTAGTTTATACAGGGCGTCCCCATTATACATCCAAGATACATTAAAAAAAGTGGACATATAGCGAAAGGACGTAAAGCAGGGAATTTTTTTCCCCACAGCTGACTTCTGTTTGCGCAAATTGGTCTTTTTTTTTTGTGCGACAAGAGCAGGGAATGAGAAGACTTAAAACGGAACAGTCCCCATAAGCATCAAGGACACTGGCACGGAACCAACATATATAGGGGTGACTTATAGCAGGGATGCCCTGTAATATAGCTTTATAAAATATCAAATGATAATAAGCCTATCTACATTAGCCACAGCAATCTTACATTTGACATATCTTACATCAATTTTCTTGGGCAGCCTCACAGAGGGAGGTTGACAGGAGAAACTTTCCTGTTTACTTCCCTTGCTCCTTGCAACTCCAAGGAGTACTGGGTTGAAAGAAGGACTCTCAGCATTCAATTGAGCAGGTCCTTAATAGACCCGCTAAATTAAATCCCAGAATATTGATCTCTGGAGAGTTGATAATCCAGTAATTTTAGACAAAACCTACATTTAGCCTTGGCAAGGTCCATGCTTCTAAAGTGGCAGAGAAAAATAAAATAAAGGTAGTTAAGAAGAGCTTGTACTTGGGGCCCAAAAAGCAATAGGTCCCTTTGAGAACAACCACTACGTCAAGATAATTTTCAAGAGATTAAAAACTTTTAGGAAGTTAAGGAAAATGCTTGAACAAGCACCCTGAAAGTGCTGATATACGAAAAACCACAACATATGAGATAACATCTATGATTAAATATGCTGAAAAAAAACAATTTAAAAGATTTTGCACGAGGAAAGTGTACACAAAGGAGATCTTGGGCTAGGCTCTTAACCAATACAGAAAGACAGCTGGACATTCAATCAGCATTACTATTCGTTAAGCAAATAATGTGAAGCAAGCAAAAAAAGCTAAAGCAATGAAGGCCACAGAGATAAAAAAGTACTGTTGGAACAGTAACAACCTTGAAGAAAATAATAACTGCAGAACTAAACAGAAGTTTTTGCTACAACAGCAAGAGTCCTTGGGTTATATTCAAGTACTTCCTTTGTTTAAAGTACATGTGGGGAAAAACACAAACACTTTTAGTTCCCATTTCAATTATTGATTTTCTGGGAAAAAAATCCAGTACTAAAAATCAAGGTGGACCCTTTTTGGTTTAAAAAGAAGGCTCACAGCAGACCATTCTTTATGTGAGACTCTTAGCTTTGAAAAACACCTTCTGGACCTATGGTCCAAAGCAGTCCAGATTTGTTTATCTTTAGGGCAAACCGCAAAGTCTAACTTCTGTAAAAGCTTTTAAGAAGAGGAGCTTAGCAGGGGAGAGTATTATGGACTAAGAAGGGATGGGGGGAGGGGTCCTCAAAGAAATATTCTTTCAGTTGGGGACAACTGGGGGAGAGAATTAGCTGGAGTATCATTTTTAAATAAACTCAATGACCTGGAGTTAAAAGATGTCTTATAGGTACATCATCAAAATCGAAACACATGCAAGTGAGAAGTCATTAAGTTGTAATTGGGTCTATCTTTTCTGACAAGCAAGATATTCTCCCCTAAGACAGGTATTAATTTGCTTACATGTGAAATGGGGGAAGAGTTCCCCTTTAAGTTTCCAAGAAATACCCGGAAAGATGCCAAGCTGCTGAATTAAAGTCAGATATTCTAGTACTCTCTAAATAAAATTATCTGATTAGTCTTTATTTCTTTTAACAGTGGCCTACTGAAATATTAGAGCTCTAACTATTTTTGCAGCCACTCTACATTATATCCTTTTGATTAACATTCATATTTATGTATATTCATAACAATGATTTTTCCAATATCTATTTTCTACAAATGTTTTCTTCACACTAGCTAAGAAAATCAACAGCAAAATCAACAGTCTTTTGAAAAGACTGACTTATTTATATACTAAAATAGTTCTAAAATTTTACCAAAAGGGTCTACTGAAAAGTGCAGTTTCTGAGAAAGACTTAAAATATTAATCACCTGAAAAGTGACGATGTGCAACTAAAAGATTATTTCTTTATCAAGCTGATTGCATATTTTTAAACCTAAAAATATTCTGCTTTACATTTTAAGTAAGGCCTTAACTGGCTATTCGATATTAATATATTACGCTATTAAATTTATTAAAATACCTTAAGTCTATCGAACGCTTAATTCAACCACCCACTATATTTATATATTTGTCTCAAGAGAAATGAATAACAATCCCACTGAAGACTAGAGGCCAAACCCAGACCATTTGCTACATCTGTTCTTTTAAAATAATCTTTTATTAGAACTAATTTTCTAACAATCACTTATTTTAATAAATTATATGCATTTACTTAAGAGTAACAGTAGTTCAAGAGTAGCAATATTACAAGTTTAGAAGATACAATTTTAAAATTAGCCCGTGTTTAATTTAAAACACTAAAACATCAAAATGATTTTCTTCCTTTTTGTATTAATGCAGATCTGCTACTATGCTAGGCAACCAGGAAAACAGCATGAAACTCAAGGGAAGAAGGAGAGCTGGTTGCTTGCCATACAAGTACACAGAGAAAGAGGAGAGGATAACATTTGACTGAACAATAGTGAATAGGCTCTTCCAGCTCTAATGCTCAAATAATGAAAGATTTTTCTTTCACAGTATTTTAAAGATCAAGCAATTTTTTTTAACATACTACTGTGTAAAAAAGTTATTGAAATGATTTTATATTTGAACAAAGCACCCATTGCCTGATGCTGCAAACCTCCCTTGGGTAAAAAAAATACAAACTGGGTAAATGAAAAAGCCATCACAAAATTTAGGACTTCGATATTTGCTGAATACCTTACAACACAATGAATGTAAGCTCTGTTCATGATGTTTAACAAAGCACCTCTATTCTCCTGGCAAGTTAGCATCAAAGAGGCTGATTTAACAAGCTTTCTAAAAGGAAAAAACACACTGACTGACCTTGTAATTGCTAAAAAAGCACTATGCAAATTTCCTTTAACAGTTCAGAAAGCAGCCTCTGATACAGGACTTGATATTCCACTGCCTCCTTTTACAGATCAGAAGATGAGCAACAATGAGGAAGCTAACAAAGAAGGCAATAAGCAGAGGTTCAGTAGGTCAAAGTACCTGAGTATCCTTGGTAGATTCTGCGTCAGAGCTGGCACACCAGTAGAAATAGAAAAGTGCACAAGCAGCAAAACAGAGAGAGATACTAAGATAGCTGAATTAATGACCACCGCCCCGCCAACGAAGCCAAACACAAATAGCAGCATGCATCCAGGACTCATGGCGCTGCGCTGGCATGGTGAAACGCCGGAACCAAGGCTACACAGACGACGAGGGTGTATCTTTGTAGTGAAAGTCTGTCATTCAGCTGCTGCCACAAAAACAATGCCATCAGCAGCAGCTTTCCACTCTCTCCTGCAGCAGCTCCAAACCAATGACATCACTTCTCTCCTCCCCCCACCTCAACAAACCATAGAGCTCCTGCTCTTAGCATCTATGCAGCAACCAAGAGAAACAGCCAGCTTATTACCTATGCTCTCCCCCGCTGATCTAAGAGTTCATTGGCAGAAGGCTTTAGGATCTACATAATATATTAACATAAACCTCTGCACAAGCAGAGATAATGACATGTTCCTTCGTAAACCTGTAGATAAAATAGCAGCCGCAAAGCAATTTTATTTAAATATTTTAGACACTGAGATTTCAGCTATTATTTGGAAATTATCCATGTCCTAAAAGAAGCTGTCTGAATTTATAAAAATGTATGCCAATGTAAAGAATATATCCCAACATTTAGTGTTACAAAAACATTTTTTCCATTGATTTCTACACTATTCTCCTACTACATTCCAATCATCCAACAAATCTTTCTGATTCAGCCAAACTATTGTTGTAGAATTAAAGAACAGACAGTCTTGCAAACATACATGAATGGATTTCTCTCTCATTTCAGGGTGAGAACATAATGATGCTTACCTAATTCTACCGTGTGGGGTGGATTCCTGTGGATCACCCCCTGTTAGTTGATGAAGTTTGGTTCTTTCCAAGTGTTCCATATAATTGTGAATCATCTGTTTAAAAAAATAAAATACTGTAAGAAATATTAAATATCAATAAAATGTAACATAGTAGCATATTTTTAGCCAACATTTTGTACTGCTTTGCAGTCCTCTTCTGAAGATCTAAAAAGAAGTTATCAGAAACCTGCACAATTTTATAGTTTAAAGTTTATTTCTCTTCACTGAAAGAAATTAACAATTTGACATTTATAGCCAGAAGTCTGAATTGAAACCTTTCCTTGAAATTTCAGTGTTAGAGAAAGAACCTTAAGTTATTTTTCAAAAATATACAATTCTGTTTCACTTTGACCTCTTAAATATATTCCTATATTCAGGGCTTGACAAACTGCGTCGAGAGCTACTCGCCAGCCCCACACCGCACATGCACCAGACCGGTACTGCACATGCACGCAGTGCCAGCGAATAGGGCGCACGGAGCGACCGGCTGAAATATACACGCCACGGGCGAGTAGAATCAGAGGTTTGTCGAGCCCTACCTATATTCATGCACAGGAAATATTTTACCACCACCATAAGTATACATAGTTGCAGAACTCTGTCTGAAATGCTAAGTGCCAATAAATGGAAAGAATGAAACCGATGTGTAACCTGCTGAAGTTTAAAACATCCATGAAGTAAAGGAAGGGCTTGGGATATTTCTTTGAATGACTGGTAACTAAGTATCCTATATGCAGAGATTAAGTATTTATAGAAATGCAGACACTAGTATACATTGAAACATTTTATAGCATTACATATTATTACATTATAGAGCAAAACATATTATAGAGCACAACTACCAACTATACAAGAATGTAGTCACCAAAATAAAATGAAAATTTTTAAAACTGTATTATGGTTAAGTTTTGAGCAATTAATTCCTTTACCAAAACGTGGCCTAATTTACTAGCTAATACATTATACAAGAACACAGTAAGTGTTTGGAATTCAGAAAACTGAAGTGAGATGTAGGTTTCAGGCTTTCCTTTTCCTCCACTTATTCTGGCCAGGTAATTCTTGCTAAAATACTAGTTGAAATTCTCTACCTACCCAAACTGTTACATAACCAAAATAAATATCAGATACCCGAAGACTAAAAACAGACACTGAAAACAAATCACTGTTAAAAAGCAGAACTTCTTTGGCTCCACTGAATACATTTTAACACTGCCCTCTTAAAAAAACACAAACAGGTTGACAGTTTATTAAGCGAATATTTGAGAGCAAGTTTAAATCACAAGTTCAACAGTAATGGAGTGGATAGGATATCCAGGGACAGTTTTTGGGTTGGGGGAGGGTAGGTACATAATTTGCATTACAGTAATGTAATGCCCGAGCCCGGCACGCTAATTCCATGCCCTTATGCCACATTACATCATGTACCTGGTGGGAGTGACCCACACATACAATGGACCCACATTGCCTAGAAAAAGCAAGTTGTGCCCCATTCATGGCTTGAGAGGTATATAAGCACATTCTGGTAGCTGACCAGGGGGTTGGGGGTTTGGTTACACCAGGTGGGTTTTTTTAAAGTACCAATAGAACATAAGGAGTGTCTCTCACGTTGCCTCGGCTTTAGGTAAGAGATTGTTTATATTAACAGAGGCTATACTTATTAGTGAAGGCGCTTTCCCTAAAGAGTGCGCATACCATTTCTAATAACCCAGGCTATACTGTTAGGGTAAGAGTGCACCCCACAGTATGGCCTATTCCTGTGTCCCCAGTTATCTTTGGGGGAAGTAAATATGGTACCGCTCAGGGGATGAAGTCTGTGCTTTCCCCAGCTCTAAACCTTGTCAGGGTTTCTGTGGTGCCTTCCATCCTGGGGCCCATGACCGCTAGGCGAGTGAAGCAGGTGGTACCCCTGGCCATGTCCCACTACAGTGGGTGGTTTAAAGCATTGAAGAGTCTTCTGGTGGGGAAAGGCCAATGCTTTCCCAAGTCTTCTGCATCCCTCAGCGTCCTCTTCTTCTACCCCTCTGAAGGTCATTTTCTTTGTGAGCCGCACGTGTTGGGGGGAACATAGCATTCCAGAGGGAAAGTGATTCAAGTGCCCCTGGATTGCCCTGGCTATGTCCCCTTCAGTGGGCAGTAATAACTTAGTCCACTGGGGGAAGTAGAAGGAAGGAAAAAGGGGAAAACCCAAAAAAAACCCTCCTCTAGTGTCTTGTGACACTTGGTCCTTTGTTGGGGAAGCTAGTGATTTCCCAGGTCTTCTATGACCCTCGGCATCCTCTTCTTCAGAATCCTTGTTCTCCTTCCTTCTTGGGGCGCATCTGTTGGAGCAACATGGCCTTCCGGGGGAGGGGGGGGGGAGAAAAGATGCCCCTGGATCTTCCCTGGCCATGTCCACCTCAGTGGGTGAATATAATGCAGTCCCATGGTTGTAACCCAAAGTCATAACTCAGTCCGATAGTCTTCTCCATCCCTCAGCATCCTCTTCCTCTGCATCCTTGTCCTCTCTTCGAGCCACACCTGATGGGGGAGGATGGCCTTTTGGGGGGGGTTGGCAAGCAAAGTGCCCCCAGATGCGACCTTGCCATGCCCTCTTCCGTGAGTTATACTAGCTCAGTCCTTGTGAAGGGAAAAAAGGGAAAGGGAGGAAAAATCCTCCCATAATCTTGTGTGTTCTATTTGTGCTTCATTACTTGTCCCAGTATTGTTGGTGGCCCATAATGTGCGCGGTGTAAATGTCATGGGACCACTGGATGGTGTTGGAATAAATTTTAACACTGACCTCTTAGAAAAAGCACAAATAGATACTACAATGGCTCATTGTCTTGTTTTGTGACCTTATGTATAGTCTTGCTAATTTACATAGCTTCCTGAAAATAAAATCAGTGTTGAATTTTATATTCTTTAAATGGGCATTTGTCACAGAATGTAAAATAGGAATAGGTATATACTATGTACACAGTACACTTTATATTCAAATTTTTATTCATTGAGGGTTCTATACAATTGAAAACATGGGCAGAAATAACAAAGAAATAAGCAATTACAAAAGGCAAAGAGTAGCATCTGGTGGCATCTCAGAACCTAACAAAATATAGGAGAGAGAATCAGGAGCTTTTGTGGGTAAAACCCACTTCACATGGCAAAAAGGCAATACATTTTAGTTTTAAGCTTGTGAGTAGTTATTTTTCTGATCCTTTTAATATTAGTTTATTTTATTCTTAAGGTTTTCATCATTAAATCATGTTGTTCTAGCTAGCATTTCAGAGTCATTTAGAACAATGCTTAATCTTCAATAACATGTGCACTGTTACACTGAAACACAATAGGGTTTCATAAATATATCAAGCTAATTGGGGCAAGAGACATAAGACTGAGAGGGATTAGAGTGGTAATGATAGAGCAGTCAATGTTAAGACATTGTTTAAATGGTCATAATTAAAAACAGGCATGAAGATAACTAACAGGGGTTTTAGAACATTAATGCTTCATTATAATCATCATTGTGCAAAGCACCACAGAGTCTCATAAAAATGAATAGTAAATACAACACAGGAATTACTGGCCAACAATTTTCACCCATATTTTGCATTTTTAATGCACACCTGAGTAGTGTGCCAGATTATAACCCATCCAGTCAGCCAGCCACATCATTGAGCAAGAGATGTCACAGGTCTACCACGCTCCTACTCCTTCCAAAACATGCTTTGACTATCTTTCTCCAATTATAGGGTACATCTAAACTACGTTCTTCTTTCGAAAGGAGATATGCAAATTTGGCACTAATTTGCATATCCTCTTCCAATTGCTTTTTTTAAAGCTTTTTTTTTTAATAAAGAAAGCAGTTTAGATGTGGTTCTTTCAAAAAAACAGCCCTTTCGAAAGAACCCTTCTTCCTCAAAAAATGAGGTGCGCAGGGTTCTTTCAAAAAAAGGGGTGGATTTTTTTGTTTGTTTTTTAAAAGAACCAGGTCTGAACTGCTTTCTTTTTTGAAAAATATGTTTTAAAAAAAGCAATCGGAAAAAGATAGGCAAATTCAGCACTAATCTGCCTATCTCCTTTTGAAAGAAGAATGTAGTCTAGATGTACCCATAGTCTTATTATTTTAAAATGCTAAGAGGCCATAAACATTAAGGACTTCTGTACAATATGGCTTGCTTGCATTTGTAATGTATAGCTTTAGTAAATTTACCAGGTCAGGCATAAGACCATGGGATGCTGTTCAGGAAAGAAGGGATGCACCTCACCAAGGAGGGGAAGTCAGTCACTGACAATTCAGCAAGTCACTGATGGAGACTTTTACTACGTTCCAAGGAGACAGGGAGAAGCATAAAAAGGTGCCCTTAAGCAAAGGCTACATGTTGAGGTCAGAGTGCACAAGATGGAAATCACAATAGGGTTGTTAGAGTAATAAGAGGGAAATTAGTGGGAGAATTTGATCAACAGCTTGGATGTCTATATAAAATATGTAAGGAGTA